AGAAATTCGTGGAGGAAAACGTGGTTAAACGGAACTCTTTGATAGGGGCATACCCGACTGGATCCCTCTTTGAGGATCCGTGGAACTTCGCTTTTTTCGACGGGACTCCGTCCGACTATCAACAGGTTGCGGGAGGACCGATGTCATCGTCGAATCCCGGCAACGGGATCATCCTCATCCCTGTGTTGTGGAAGAACGTGGACTGTTCCGTGAAGCGGAACTTCTTCTGCTATCAATATTACTCGGGCGTCATATGCGGGTGCAACATTGAGGAGGGTTGGATATTTTCGTGGGGCTTCTGTTTCATCAGAGGCCCGGAACCCATGACGTACGAGGATGCAGTGCAGCACTGTCCCACTGTGCCAGGGGGTTGCGAAGGGGCTTATGGAACATTTTTGAGTCCCAATCACTATGTCAGGGACGCCTTCATCAATTACATGAGGCTCGATTCTCAGGTGAGGATATTTCGTAAAAGTTGCATTTTAAGGGGAGGACGAGTCGAAACGTAAAAATTTGAGTGCTCTGTTTTTTTTCTTCCATATTTTGGGCTCTTTACAATGACCTGCAATATTCCACAAGTTCTATGAATACCCTTCACCATTTGAGGCCCTGCGTTCGCTCATTTGAACAAACGTCAGAGAATTATCAGCAGTGATCTGTAGCATTTTCCCAACTCTGTAGTATTTCACATTAAACGACTTGTGACAGAATTAGAAGTGAATATCTTCATCAACTTTGAGCGAGTGCTTGAGACACTTGGCAACACTGCGTGGCACCAAGAGGTCGCAGAGACAGCAGTGATACCAGTGCCGATAGGGTAGTACTCTGAATCGTTCGTAGAATATGTTGAGAGGACAATGAAGTAGGGAGTACGAAGCCGTTCCAAAGGCATTCCCCTTTCTCGAATATAATATCAAATACTTTTAAAATTTGAGCGACCTCTAGAATTGCTTCTTGCGAAAATTCACTTTTAAAGGGATTCTTACGAAAACGAAGCAATTCCGCTCCTCGTAGATTGAACTTGTCTTCCCCAAAAAGAATTCCTCCATATCTATATAATGTTCCCTCAAGCTTCATTGGGAAGCACAAAGGAGTTTTCATGTTAGAGCCTTATCGACTACCTACCGGCTTTATATTCACATTGTACGGTACTACATTTATCACTATCCCAAACCCGCATCATTTCGAGAGAGCAAATATTAATTTTTCTCAAATAGTACTAAAAAATGCACTCTAAAAGTACTCTAAAAGCACAACTTTCAATTTTACTCACAGGGTATCTTTTCTCAACACTTTCTCCATTCGAATCAAATTCGAAGCAAAAAGTGCATCAGAACGGAGGGCATTTGAAAACTGTTAATTGCAGAACGAAACGCAATTCCGTGTGAGTTCTGAGCGTTGAAACAACTTCCATAGTTTCTATTAAATTATCTTCATTTTTCAGGTTGAATGTATTAATCATTCTTAAATAATTTTTTTTTAAAGAGATAGATGGGACACCCCGTATAACACCCTCTTGAATATCTATAGAGTTCTTATTAGCGTGCTCCTGCCTGAATTCCCATTACGGAACCAGGATGACGACAACGGAGATCATCCCGGAAGGTATTGGATGGGGCTGAGAAGGAATCCGGAATCGGGGCAATGGGAGACACCATCCGGAACGCCCTTCAACGCGACGACCGAATGGCACTGGGATGGATATCCGACCGAGGACGGAGGGGATTGCGCCTCGCTGTTCGTCTCCTCCTGGATTCCCACGTTTGTGGGGAATTTATACGGGTTCGTCTGCAAGAAGGCGTCACTTGCTTGAAGAATTCAAGGTCGTTTCCTTGATGCTGTCCAAATGAGCTTGGGAAATAAATGTTATACAGATGGATTGAAATAAAAGGCTTTGTATCGTGGTGAACTTTGTCCTATCGTTCCAAGAATCCTGATTTAGAGGTTTTCTTTTCACAGTCCTTCGGTTGCAACCGAGCTAAACCGGCAAGGTCTATTTCAAGGTATGTCATAAATATGGCTCTCGCCCATTGCCTGGACCTCGGAAGTGGTCAGGATGTAATTCTCGGCTGGCCCAATCTCTCAAGGATGCAAATGGAGCAGCAAAAGAGACCACGAAGCCGAAGTTCCCTATGGTCTGCTTACTTCACGAATGCATTCGAGATCACTTTGAGGAGTGCATGCTTCAGACGCGGAAAAAACGGCTTGGTGGCATATCTTTATTTTTAAATATGGCATTTGTACTTTTAAATGTTCCTAAGGAGGGCGGGTCTCGACTGACATTCCATGAATGCGCGAAAGGAATAAATTATAGCGAAATGAGAAATTCTGTATTTTCAAATTTTTATTTTGAAACGCGAAAATATAGTACATGTAAATCGTAAATAGTACTTCAGTTGTTTTGCTGGTTACCGGTATTTCATGAAGCGCCGAAGCATTTGATGAACGTTACGAAATGTCACATTTTACAGATTACCCGCGACATAATTATATCCCCGTGATTACGGGTCTCAGGCGCTCCTGCAGCTGACCCTCCTCGTTCACTGACGTAGCTCAGCGAAAGTCTTTCCTTTAATAGACAGATTTCCCCTTCCAAACTTTCGACGATGTCGGCGAAGCGTATCTAAGCTCAGAGTGCCCCAATGTAAATCCCGTTCTATCACGTATTATTAATACTGCGCTTTTACAGGCTTCGATGCTTTCCCTTCTTCCCCTTGTCCTCGTGCGTGACCCGGAATTTAAGAGACATCGTTCTAGGCGGGATGAGGGTCTGGCCAAGCCGAAACGATAGAAATGGCTTTTCACACGTCTATATAAAACGTGCCGGATGGCGCCTGATCATGGGAAATATTGACAAATGTTTTAACTAACAGAAGAACACATTATTTGTAACATTATCTGAGCCTCATTTACTTTTCGGCACATGAACCCTGCAATTCAATGGGAAAATAGTAGGGACGACAATGAAATGATACGCTACAAGGTTGAAGCTTCCGCGATAGATTCTTATTTGCATGATCGCCCGAGCGAATCGCTTCCTCATGTGCGAGAAGTGCTTGCACGAACCCCCCTATTAGTCGGGAGGGGACTCGCGCGCTGCCCGTGACGGACCCCCCTCCACCTCCTCTGGTTTCCGTTCGGTTGGGTCCCTGTGCGCTCCTATTCCTATATCTAATGGAACTTCTTTCAGAAATAGACAGATGCTACTTATGATGTTATCTCTCTGGATTTGGGATAGAGGTCTGCGCGGACTGTGTACGTTCTGCATCCGCGGGCCCAATTCTCGCATCAGCGCACATTCGAAACTATCAGTATCTGCCCGTGCTCGAATTGAGAAAGGCAACGGCAGCGACAAATGTTCTTCAACACATGATTGGGCACACGTTCCATCGTTATCTTCAGATGAATTCCTCGCATAATCAGTTTGCATGCATTCAGCTCTTGAATAATTGCCAATTTAAGTTGTGATTTTACACAAGGCGAAAATGTACAAGTTTTCATTTTTTAAACATTCGTGGTCATTACTTGAACCCCCTGCTTCATTTTTACCCGAAAGTGTTGACATCAATATCTGCAGTTTTATTCAGTTTGAAGTCGATGCTATTAAAAGTGTATTAAAAAAAGAATTACATTCCGCAAGAACTCGGAGTGAATCACAGATTAATACATTCTTTGCATTCTCTGGGGAATAAAAACACTAAAAAAAAAGCTTTAAACACATACTAGGGACATAAAAAGGACTCAACCCGTCGAGTAAAGCCCTAAGTTTCTTTCGATGCTGCGCGTGGATCTGTATGGTTTCATTAAGAGTCGGACACTCGAAACCTCGCGATGTATTGTTAACGGCACTTTCAAGTCCACTGAAACTCACAAAGTCTTCATACGTACTTAAAAAGTAAATTCAGTCTTGGGAATCGACAGAAGACTGACTCATAAAACCCTCGACGCACCAAGCGCGACGGACGCAGCTTGGATCGAATCGAGAAGGTGGAGGGAAAGTGCGCGCAGGGGCAAAGCTGGATAGAAACGGCCGGCTCCTCCCGTCCCTCCTCCCAGTGGCCGAAGAGCGTTCCTTCTCTGTGAAATGCCAGACATCCATCCTTCGTTTGGCCGCTATCGTGCCCGCCTCGCATCTTCTCCTCATCCGTGAGTTGGAGGTTTTATTAGATGACATGCTCCATATCGACTGCCATCATTTTTTTTCCATTTTAAAATAACTATTGGTTCACTTAAACATGTGCTTAAAATTAGGACGAATGAGCGTCAGCAATGAGCTGGAACGTCAACGTTTGAAAGGAATCCGCGAAGAGTATCGATCGGTTCGCGTTTATTTTCACGGCAGTTGGCTCGATGTTGCTCATTATCATTTCTTCCAACTCTACTCGAGTTCTCGCTAAATCGCAATGGAGAGAGCCATTGCAAGTTCATTAAAACGTCGAATTAGAAACGAGAAAGAGGGAGTAGAACAAGGGAATAAACGACTGGAGAATTTTCTCGAACTTCTAAAAAGATATACTAAATGAAATACTTTTTCCAAGATCCCTCGAGAATATTTTTCAATCTATGGAAGAAAGAAAATAAATATAAAAATAAGGATGGAATTGGTCTCAGCGAAAACACGGAGGAACGACAAATAAACATTTACCTAGAACGTATCATCTGACTTCATCGGAAATGTTCATGAGCTCCCTGCAGTAGCAATTGCTCAATTGCGCAATTTATTTTTCTACTTTCACTATCTTAACTTAGGAACACCTTGCTTAGCCCCGCAATTTTTTTCGCTTTAGCTTGTTACAGCCTGTCACTCACAGCCACCAAGGAGATGATACAGAACGAAACGGCAGACAGCACCGAAAAGCATCAGAGGACAGCAGCGGAAAACCCCAAAAAACGCCCAATACGTGCCGATAAATGATAGAGCCAGCTAGACAAGGGGGGAACGGATGCAGAAAAAAGGGATCGATAAGGAGAAGCTCAAGGTATGATCTTGCTCGACCGGCCCACAGTGTTACAAGCGAGTCGAGTCGGTTTCTGCAATGATCTCTGCTGTAATGTCAGAACAAATATTTTAACAATAAGGGAAAATATGAGTATTATCGGAAGAATTCCATGACTAGGAGGTACGTCTTACCGAAAAGCGAAAAACCTTTTCAAGTACCAGTACTTGCATTTTGTAGGGTAATTTTACATTTTTCCCCCGACTTCACATTTTATTTTCTGTCCCCGAAATTCTCTCGGAAGAGAAACCGCACGGAAGAGAAACCGCACGGAAGAGAAACCGCACGGAAGAAGATTCGGTTCGACAAGTGCAGGATTAAAAATCGGCGTAATCGGACGTGTGTCACGACGATGTACCGTCGACTCTCATTAATCCGAACACCGGTAATTCGGATCATCCGGTAATCCGTACATTAAGAATGTTCCAAGCAGAAGTTCCACAGAACCAATATTTAAAAAATTCTCCGTTTAATTCAGACGTCGTCATTCCGTATTTTCCGTCCATCCGCACGAGTTTTCTTATCCCCTAGGCCATTCTTCCCCGTTAATCCGGATTTGCCAGCTAAAGACATATGATACAACAGAAAAGCTTTCTCTTTCTCACTCTCCCTCGCCCACGGAATTAAGAATATAAAAAAAATAGAGGAAACATTCGATCTCCCCCCCCCCCCCTTTCCCGAAATCGACCAATTCGGAACGCGCTCTCTCCATTGAGACTTTCACGCTTTAAAGTCTCATCCTCTCTCGGTCTAATCCAATTTTAGGCTGCGCGTCCACAATTAGCACGGACAGAAATATGCAAATAGCATTGCATATTTCAGATGCAATGTCAATACTGCAGTCTGGTCTTAATATGAGCACTGTCCATATTTTAAACTTGTTAAGCTATTTTCAGTTAATAAAGCTTAATAGCTGCTAAAACCACTATTTGTCAAGAGCAGTAGGCCACATTCTCATCGAATCGATTGGGGCATTGCCTTAATTGGCTTATTAAGGGTATTTTGCTGTACCGTCACATGCATAAGTATGCTGCGAATATTTGTCCATATTTTGTTGAATTCGAAGGAAAGTTTTGAAGCTCTCGGACTTAGGCTTCGTCCACACCAAATATAATTCCATGCAATTTTTTATTCAAAAATCCGACTTGCAAAGAAAACTTTCTATATATCCAAGATACTCTGGAAGATTTCATCATTCCATGTTTTTTTTTTCCTAACGTCCTTTCATCGTCTATGCAGGAAATCTTCAGACGAGGTACAGCATGTAATTTGAATATTCAAACATTCGACGGCGTCGAAAAAAACTTGAACTCGCCGAAAGAACCGAGTCGAAATTTTCCATGCAAAGAAAAGGTCTTTTTTTTTTTTTTTTGCACGTTAGCTTTCTTCCAGGCAAAAAAAAAAAGTTATTCGTTCATCGTCCATTCCGATGGGAGACTTTGCATCATTCACGAATAACACACGCGCCTGACGCCGGTTCCAGACTAACGCGTGCGAATGATGAAACTCCTCGCAAATCCAGTCTTTAAAAAAATATAAAAAAAATTTAAAAATCTTAAAATTTGCGTCAGTACTGCTCCTTTTAATTTTTGAAAAAATTTTAAGCAGCGTAATTTCTGCGAATGAATGCTAATAAAAAGAACTGGAATGAACACAACTGCAAAAAAAAACCTCGCTTCAAAATGTCGGCGTCGATTTCATGGGTCTCCATCCGGCTTTGAGCAATCAAATTCAACCGAGAACAGCTGGCAACAAGGCAACTGAAACGGAGAAAGTCTCTGTTTCAGTTGCCTTGGCCGCGTTCTCCTTCACGGCTGCTCAGCATCAGTTCTCGTACGAAAACAACGGTACGTCCTTCCTCGCCTTCGTGGGCCTTTTGTGAGACTTCGAAGTCGTCTGAGACCGGTTCCGGTCTCGGTCAGCCAGTTGGCTTGCATTGTCATTAAAGACAATCCAAGCCAACTGGGTATTTAACCGTGTTTTATCTGGCTAAAGCGACTCGAATCTGGTCTCCCTCAGCCTATCAGTTTTACTCCCCCCCCACCCCCCTACCCTCCCCCCCTTGGCAGTGGTGAACGGTACGAATTCAATCCGAAAATCGTAAAAACGGAAACAATAAGCATTGATATGATGCAGGAATGGTGTTTGGGCTCTCCATAGCCAAGACAGACGAAGAAAATTAAAAATACGTATCGCGCGCCTCTTGGCATACGTGCATTTATCGAATGATTTCGTTCTGCGGACCACACGCATTCACCGACACAAGCCACTGCAACCAAAAAGAGACGAGCAAGCCGCGGCGGGAGGAAGAAAAGCCATCGGGGACGAGCGAGCTTCCTCGATGCAGACGCGCGGAAACACCAAGAAAACGGACGAAGGGATTAATGGCAAGGTCCGCTAAACAAACGGACGGGGAGGAGCGAGCGACAAAGCATTCACGTCACCATGCAACAGGAATACATGTAGGCCTCGGTCGAATGCACGCGCAGTCCTACACAGGCCCTATACGATGTGAACGCATGACGAACTCGGGGACTAAAACACCCCGCGTTCGCGCTTGCACCTCCCACGCACGGATCGAGGCCGCCGCTGGGGCGAAGCGGGAGTCTCGTCCGTGTCGTTTTCGATGGCTTATCGCCCGTTCCGCCGTCTTGAATTGTCGTCTGCGATTGCGCCGATTTTAGCCATCCGACTCGGAGGGAAAAACGATATAACCCGGCTGGGCCAAAAAAATGACAGTTTTTCACGATGCATCGGCGCTCCATTCGCTGCATATATTTATGCGGTAAGCGGTATGTGAAAGAGGAATAAATAAGATTTAAAATGGTGCAATTACTTTTCAAATATCCTCAACGGTTTCAGAAATTCATGAGAACATGAATTTCAGGGATTTTTTCACGGAATTTTTGCTGGTGACCTTTCGCCACCGCCTTTCCATCCCCATTTCTGCAACAAAAAAAAAGGTTCATGCCGCCTTCTGGTTAGGGGCGCGAATAAAAGGTCAAAGGTCACCGACCTTTGACCTTTTATTTGCGACCTGCACCCGTGTCGGTCTAGCAAACTGCTCTTCGTAAGGTGTTGCCTGATTTGAGAGCCGAATTGTGGGAATGTGCCTGACCGAGGATTATAAAATATTAATAAGTATTAATTAAATAACTGTACCCCGATAATCGCTACTCTGAAAGACGGATTATCCGACTCGAAAAGGTGCAATAGACTTCTGAGGTGATTTTGCAGCAGAAATTCGCATTCAGAAAACCCAGATTTTCAGGCGAGAAGAAATTCGCGATCGAAAGAGAGACGCCGTAACGCACAAAAAACGATAATAAGCGGTCGTCGAGTGATTGTTCCGGGAGAGGGCGCATTTTTGCGACTCTGTGATTTTTGCTACGATTGTTGCTACGATTGTTGCTACTACTACGTCGGGTGTGGGCAAGACCAGTCTCATCGCGGAAATTGCAAGGCAAGGTAAATGTGCGAAATCGGAGGATTTGGAGAACTTCCCACGGCTCAAAAGGCCAAATCGGCCGCGAAATTAGGCGAGGAGAAGAAATCTCCACCTGGACAAAGAAACGCGAAGGGCCAACTATAAAACGTGGAACAACCGAGAAGAAACACCTTCGAAGAAACACCTTCGAAGAAACACCTTCCATCGAACGCCGTCGTCCGGTTTCCGCCGACTTTTCTCGGCAGCTGGGGATGCCAGCATGCAGCATTCGAAATGTGATCTGATAAGAACGTTAACGGGATAGAGAAAGTCCTTGGCTTACTGGGATGACTGCTGAGCATTCTAGTCTTCGAACCATAAAAATCTCCGCAAAAAAATCTTGATTCGGCTATTAAGCTTTTTTTTTGCGGAGATATTAAAACGACCTGGCATCACCCGACCAATAAATACCAATAAACCTTCAACTTCGTCAGGTATTCCAAAACGATTTAACTCATTCCATATTTATTTAATTTCCTTCGTTTTTCTTTCCATTTTGATTTCAATTTTGTAACTTGTTCGATTCTCAATACCTTGCTATCGCTATAGCCTTCACATCACAGCTTGGACTTTTTGCAGCCGCGGAGGACTGGCCGCTGGAGTTCCCGACCTGCGGAGGAGGCCGCCAGTCCCCGATCGACCTGAGCGGCGTCGTCCCGGCCGACCTGGGACCCTTCCGCTTCCGCGACTACCACCGCGCGCCCGACGAGGTCACCGTCTCCAACAACGGGCAGACGTGTGAGGCATCCGGACGTTTAACTGTTTTTTTTTTCTAACCTTCAGCGTCTTCGCCGCTTGATGGAATTACGGGCGCTTGCGAGAACCATATTTGAAATGCATCTGGTCGGATTTTAAATAACTCTGGATTTCTTGCTGGGAATGAACCGAGAGGGTTTTCAGCTCGACTCCATTTTGAAGTCTCAAAATAGACTCAAATGAAAGACGGCCTTCGAACGTGAATGGCTGAGAAAGCGCGCTAAATTACGACTCTGCCATTTCGATCTGCTGACGATCTGAATCACTAAGTGCCTTGCAATCGAATATTGCAAATTTCTCCGCCTGAAGCCGTGAGAGGAGATGTCAAGATATCTCCGGTTTATTTATTTATTATTTATGGTTATTTGATTTTGTTTATATTCAAGTAGAAATCCGAATTCTACCCGTATAACGAATTTTACCTTCACGTCGAAACTGGTAGACGAACGATAGAAGAGAAGGAGGCCGAGTAGGACCCGGTCGTAATAGCGGCTAAATAAATAATAAATAAATAGCAGCTAAATAGCGCTCCAGATTCTAGAAGTAGAGGGAGAAAGTCCAAGTGAGACTCGAGTATCTTGCTATCGGCTCATCGATGCTAATGTCCCGTGCCGGCAATGTCTTTTGGTGAAAGAATTGCGATTGCAGGGCACGCGGCGATTCCGTTCGCAACCTCTCAAAATTGCACGGCCGTAATCTTTATTGAAGCACATTTAAATCAAATTTATTTTATTTAATATTTTAGTCTTTCCCCGGGATGCCGATTTCTGGGAAGTCCAATAGTTGACACGCCGTTGTTTCATTCGAGTCCAACTGCAAAAATATGTGAAGCTGCCTCTTTACTAAGTTTTAGCGAAAAAATTTCGCCAGGCTTCCTTCAAATTCGACTGGATTGAAGACGGACTTCAAGGCGAATCCTCGCATACGAACCTTAGCCTCAAATCGAGAAACTCGGCATATTTTATTGCAAGGTATTAAAATAGAAGCTCATTATGCATACTAATCGATTGAAGGGCTGCACCTCGCAGAAACCCAACTTGAATCCAACGGCATCATTACCCTCTTGCTTCAAAATGACTTGTTCCTTTTAAATTAGACAATTCATGAAATGAGCTATGAATTTTTTTTCTTCAAATTTTAAAGCGATGGTGACATTCAGCACGAGAAAGACACCGAGAGTGTCCGGAGGCGGTTTACCTGGATTGTACGTGCTCGACCAGCTCCATTTCCACTGGGGCTCCAACCCGTACCGGGGATCTGAGCACACCCTCTTCGGCTTCAGGTTGGTCGTTCCGTCTGGATCGTGACCTTTCGATCGGGGTTCTGGCTCGTAATCGAAGACGGAGAGATTAAGGGGCTGGACCTCGTTAGTGAGGATGGGGCATTTTAATTTTAATTTTAATTTTAATTCTCATGGCATTTTAACTCGAAAATGGGACGACCGGAAGAGAGTTCATGCGGCGGTGCTGACTCGTCCGGTGAGAGACAAAGTGGTTACAAAATACACATACTGGCCTTGCAAAAGGCGGAACTTCATTTTAAAAAAAAGAACCAGCATCAGAGACGGAACGCCAGCAGAGGAATACACGCTAAGATAAGGACGCCACTTCCCTTTTCGTGTCAGGGACCTTGACCAGGGTTCTTGGTCGAAATAAAGAATGCATTCTCGTGCCTTACAACGTTTTCACCGTATCGCCGTCGTGACGAAATTGCACAATTTCCCAGATTCCCGATGGAGATGCACATGGTGCACTTCAATTCCAAGTTCGAGAATTTCACGGAAGCGCTTGCCTCGGAGGAACCGACCGCTGTCGCCGTCTTCGGCTTCTTCCTCGAGGTAACCATCATTCCGATGAGACAAGCAAGTGATGAATGAACTTAGTGAAGTGAAGATGCATTTCGATGCACACTTTCAAGGGCAGCGTTTTTGGATGGAAACGAAGAGCTAATGAATCACAAAAAAATCAATTATTATGCGTAACGTGTAACATCATTCCGCAACAATACCTACATGTATATCGATTGCATCGTTACTCTTCGGCCTTAATAAATTTCAGAGGGAATAGGAGGAACATATAGTGCAATGAACACTTGAGGTTTCTCATGTAGGTGTCAAAAGACTGGATCCCAATTTGGGATAATCTGGTGAGAGCGCTGAGCCACGTGAAGGAGCCGGACACGGAGCACCCGGTGAACCCACCCACCCCGCCGTCCCGCTGGCTGCCGACTGGCCCGAGCCGCTTCTACCGGTACTACGGCTCGCTCACGACGCCTGCCTGCGATCAGGTGGTCGTCTGGACGCTCTTCGAGACTCCCATCCCCATCGGCTTGCGACAGGTCTCGTTTGCTCCTCCATTCTGAATTTCTGCGCCTGACCAAGGCGAGCAGAGAAGCGAACTGATTGGCTTCTTCGGGTTGACGATCAATCGGATCACTTCTTGCCCCTTACTTCGCGCCGTTTCCCGTGAAATGGATCTTATCTTTGCCTTTTGAGTCCCCGTGCCATATATGCGAACAAATGCGGAGGGGGGCTTTAGACTGGGTCAAAGTCCCCTTAGCCGATAAATATTTTAAATACGGCGATAGAACTTCTGGCTACATACGACTGTGTGGGCCAAGAGCTGCAAAGGGGTAAAGGTCATTTTTCCACTTTGAGGTCTTGAAATTTGTCTCTTCACTCCAAGCATTCCAAAGTCAGCGTGAAGCGTCGTTGCTCAGTTACTTTCTTTCATTTTTCCTCATGGATTGCTTCCTTGTCCATGAACAGTGGGAGCAATGGAACCGCCTGAGGACGATGGCCGGGACCAAGCTGACGAACAACATCCGACCGCTGCAAGCCCGGAACGGCCGAAAAATCCTGTACGATGATTGTTTCCACTGCTTTCGCGATAACAAAGCGAAGCGAAAAAGGAAGTGGCGGAAAAAGATAGTTCCGATAGCTGGCGATAGTTGGCCGACGTGGGGCCCTGTTCAGCCCACATTTCCTTGGGATTTCGAGTCCCCTACAGCCTGGTGAGATTGAGGCTCCCGAAGTACCGAGTACAAGTGGAAACACCACCTCCGATCAGATGATAATCTTCGATGTTCAACTACCTCCGATCAGATGATAATCTTCGATGTTCAACTACCTCCGATCAAAAGATAATCCTCAAGGTTCGGCCATGTTCACGACGAGTTAAAGAAACCGATGCGTACGTCAAAGTCTCGATTGTTCCAAGGGAAATCCCCGGAGAACAGGGAATGCAGTTTTCTCTTTTTTTTTTCCGCCGTCGTGCTTCCAACCAATATGCATGAATGCGACTGTCTCTAACGGGAGTCACTTCTTTTTAAAAGGAGCGACGCACACACGCGCGCTCAGATGCGTGCCCGCGGCCGCGCTTGCTTTTAATCTTTTAATGCCATGTCACCATCATGTTTCCTATTCGATAGGGTAGAAGTAGAATATAATTTTTTACTAGTCCATGGAATAAGCAAAAGGTATTTTCCCCCTTTCGGTACTGGATTCGTTCGGTCCTCCAGAACCGAAGAATCAGCGGGCATTTACTGGGAGATGAGAACTTCATGATGGACCTCCACTATGGAAGGAATCGGAAGAAGACATTACTCGCACTCGGAAAAATCCCCATTATCTCTGCATTTAGAATTTTCAGGAAAAGAACAGATCAAAATGTTCCAAATAGAATTAAACGGAGCTTGTTCTGAGGCGGCCCCAATCCACTGACATCAGAAGCGAATCCTAAAGCGGGCAGGGATGTCAGAAGGATGTCAGAGGGATGTCAGAGGGATGTCAGAGGGATGTCAGAGGGATGTCAGAAGGACGTCAGAAGGATGTCAGAGGGATGTCAGAAGGATGTCAGAAGGATGTCAGAGGGATGTCAGAGGGATGTCAGAGGGATGTCAGAGGGATGTCAGAGGGATGTCAGAAGGATGTCAGAGGGATGTCAGAGCATCCCAGGATCGCGTCGTCCTTCACCCAAATTGCTGCACTCGAAATTCCAAGTCTGCCATCCGACTGCAAGAACGTTCGCTTGGAATCTCTTCCGGGAATCCCCTCAACAATTAGGCAACTGGAAAAGATCCTCGAAGATCCTGATGATTATCATAGTAGTCTCTGCATATTAATATTCTTCTTTCAATTGTTCTCATTTGTTCAGACCGATGATCTCATGCGCCTTTTCGCATTATGTGAAAATCATGATGTATTATTTTGTATATATTTCTTTCAATAAAGTTCTGGCTTTTTCTTAGAAATCCGTATTTTCTATCACGGGCTATATTTTAGAATTGATTTTGCCGACGAATGATCAGTATTTTATCAGAGTTCGAAGGGACGTCGGCAATAAATTATTTAGAATTTTTGCTTCCATGTACCGAAAATCATCCAAAATTAAAGGGAAAATATCAACGGACTCTATCTGTAGGGTAGAGCCATGGATTTCCATCAAGGTTCCCCGTGGATCGGTGGGGTTTTTTTTATGCACGAGTTCAACAATCGGAATCGAAACAGCTCGGGTGTCCATCGATGCTCCAAAGTCCGCTGAAATTCCTCAAATTTCGTCACTACTCCCTCGAAACTCGCTTCTGGGGAAAGGCCTGGCGAGGACGAACGCACCGAGCATCCACGGACGAGCATCCACGCGCATCTGGCATCAGACGGAGAGGGAAAGCGCGCAGGAGCAAAGCTGGATCTGGAAGGTCGGCTCCTCTCGTCCGTCCTCCCTAACCGTCCGTCTCCGTGATCCGCAATCGACATTCGTCGGCGTACCTTTTCGTCCAGGAGAAAGACATCGTCGTCTGGACGTCATCATGACCGTTTCGCAGCTCCTCGTCATCCGTGAGTTGAAAGTTTTACTTGCATTTTAAACTCTGTACTTCCTGCAAATTAGCCTCTACACCTCCATAAATAAATAATTAATTAAATAAATAAATAAAGAGAAATGGAGAAAAAATGGAGGTGAGTTTCTGCTCAAAAATATCTTTCATCATTGATGGGCCCGATTATCGAGCTCTTGGGATGGAGCCGTGAGAAAAGGATGCGCGGATATTTAAATTTGCACATTTACATCTGCAAAAAAAATGTTCAGCAGGAGCACGAAACCCAATCGAATATTTTTTTTTTAGAGCTGAAACGAAGTTTTCCTGCATTTGACTTTTCTTTTGTTTCTCCTCCAAGAATGTTGCACAGAATTGAATGTCCGCAAGTGATAAACAAGACCGCGTTGTGACCTATGGTCCCAATCAGATTTGATTTCCATAAGCACCATCGGATATTTACTTCTCTGTTGACCAGAGGAGCAGTCCCTCAGAGAACTGGAAGATGGACCGGTTCCATGAATATTTTCCCGTTTACTTTCTCGTCATTGGCATCACTTTAAAGAATTTCGCGGCACATTCCTCTCATATTCGAGATCGAAATATTCCCAGAGAGGCAATCGAAGAGCCCTCATTTCGCCTCACATATTCTAATTCCTCCTCCAGAAACCAGAAACAAAAACGTGAAATTCGTATTTAAAAAATGTAAAAGAACGATCATTCAGATTCAAAACAAGGAAGAAGCAAATAAATTTAAAGGGCCTTCGGAAAGCGCTGAATGATGGACAATCAGGCGACACTGTCTCATATGATCTCCAGGGTTTGTTGCCTAACGCGGAAACGATCACATGACATTCGATGCTCGTACTCGATAAGAAAAGCCTCCTCTGTCCCTGAATTGCTTAAGCCGTATCTGGGGGCGGAAGCGAATTTCGCCACAGAGGAGGTGTATCGCAAGCATCCCAAGAATAAAAGTTGCAATCCTCTAGCATTTTTATACCGGTTTCTTTGAGGCTTCTCGTTTTCGTTTCCGCTTCGGTCTTCGAAAGCGTTCTGGCATTGAAATCGGGAAACCCCGACTCTCGCGTGAGTCAATGGCCACCTTCTAAGGCAAGCCCACTCGAATCGATGAGCCCATGACGCCTGCCTCTTGGGAGACGGAAAATTCATCAATGAAACGATAACAGGGACTTTATTTTTAAGACATTGGGACGTCTTTTAATAAACGTATTAATTTATTAATTAAAAGACGTTTATTAATAAATGTCCCTCTGTTTTCCCGAAGGCCTTTCAATTATCACTTATAGTGTTCCAGATGATTAATAATTTCTTTTAAATTAAATAGTGCTATTCATTATTTCAGTAATTATCTCTTAATTAATCGTTCATTAGCTCGTTAACTTTCCATCCAAAATATCCCAAATGAAGTGATCTTAAGCGGTTAATCGCACCGGAGATCGAGGCAATTCCATACTCGCTCTTGTTGCATTTTATTCATAAAATTAAACCACCTAGTGGTAAAACCACCTAGTGGTAAAACCACCTAGTGGTAAAACCACCTGGTTCCCCTCGCGGTTGCGATAGCTGGAATTTTGAATATTTCCTGCTTCAAATTGGCCTGCGCGTCCATTTGAGGATCAAAACGGATTCTAATGGCTTATATCCTGCCAGAAGATTTCATCGTGGTAAATACTACAACAAAGTCCTTTTGAAGAATAAGAAGCCATAAAGCATCGATTCCTTCAACAATTCCTCACTGTCCTATAAAGCAGAAAGATGGGACAAGGCTTTCTTAACCCTATGAGTAATAGACCCGAATATAGACCTGTGTATAGACCCCTGTAGAGATTCGTATACAGTATCACATACGTTACAGGGGGGATATATGCATAAATTAGATGCCTTTTCCAGAAAATCATGCCGTTTGGAAGAGCATAATGACCTACGCACGTCAATTCCAGTAAAAATTCAAGAATAATACACTAATAACATGCTACTTCATACACAGAATTCCGAATAATGCGTGTATTCTTCAGTAATCTTTGAAAAAAAAATCGGTCCAACTGCTTGCGTCTGTACTAATGAGTACCTTTCAAAATGTTAGAAGAAGAAATTTCCTGCAAATAAATGGTAATCGAGAAGAAAAAGGTGGCTGCAAACAAATTGCCTACCATTGAAAGTTTTTCTTCATTCCATCGACGGGGAAGAAATTCGACTGAGAATGTTTTCTCTGTTTCAGTTCCTTCGCCGTGGTCCCCCTGATGTCTGCTCAGCAACAATTTACCTACGAGAACTATGGTACGTCTTTTTTTTTCATCTGCATGTAAATGCGAACTGGCCGACATTGAGCGGTTATGGTCCCAGGCGACGCAGTTAAATATAGACAATTACTTGAAATTTTTCTTGTAACTGTTTTCAACCTCTTCGTCCCCCCCCCCCCCCCCCCCCCCCCCCCCCCCCCCCCCCCCCCCCCCCCCCCCCCCCCCCCCNCCCCCCCCCCCCCCCCCCCCCCCCCCCGCGAACGCGTGGGGAAAAGAAGAGACGGGAGAAGAAACTGAAGAGCTGCGAAATGCGACACGCAGCGGCCACGCTGGTTTGCCCGCATAGCCGACAGAGATCGTTTCGGTCTCGTCTCGGATGAAACAAAATAAATCCGGTTCGATTTGCTCAAAAATCCCCGATGACGCAAATGACTACAAGGAGCAGAAGAAAACTCCGATGGAAGTCAAAATTCATCAATCCCTGAATAAAAGGAAAAAAAAAGTTTTCGGAGAGACGACCGAATCGAAGCTGTTGGCAGTTTCCCCTCAAATGCCTGAAATTCAATGGGTTCCAGTTGGTTTTGGGTTACAAGAAGAACTGCGTTTTCCGAGAATTTTCCCTTGGCAGGAAATATCGCATAAATTTACTCCCTTCGCCTGGGCAACGGTATTTACTTGAGACATATTTGATTTCATGATTCTAATATTATATGAGATGCAACCACATCATTTTTCCCCCGATGGCATGCAAGAGTCCATTTTGTCGACCGAATTCGAGCAATTACGTTTCACAAAACTTGTGCTGCTGAGGCGAGCTTCACTTCCCGATAAAAGATCGGTCAGAAGAATAGAATAAGAGCATGGATATAGGAGTTCCTGTTTAAATGCTTTTTCACTACTTTTTTTTCTCTCGGCGATACTTCGATCGAGAAATGAAACTCTCCCCAGCATCGCATGCTTCGCAAAATGGCATGTCATGAACGCGGAAGGCATGTCATGAAAGTGGAAGAAATGGCGTGAAAGTGGAAGAAATGGCATGAAAATGGAAGAAATGGCATGAAAATGGAAGAAATGGCATGAAAGTGGAAGAAATGGCATGAAAATGGAAGAAATGGCATGAACGCGGAAGAAATGGCATGTCAGACTGAGATCCGACTCATGAGGCAGTTCAACAATTTGAAAGTATCACCACACCCATGATCGTCGGCCTGCACCGTCGAGAGAACACCCCAGTCAGACGAATCAACGGTGGGAATTCATCGTCTTCGTCCTCCAGACTCCTCGCCGGACACGAGAAGAAAGAAGACGAAATTCACAGTTTACCCGACTCAAATCTCATTTCAATTTCACATTAGCGCGTGCGAAACCCCAAATTTTTCCATTCGACATGGATCCTTCAGAATGAAACCATTGGAGGCGACCACGAGAAGACGTCAGCTCGTAGAAATGGAATTTCTGGCGATGTCGCCGATCACGCAAGAAGGCACCCAAAATGAAACGGACAGACAACTGCGACGAGCCCCGTGACAGGATGCAACCGTGCTCCGAATGTCAGCAATGACATCTCCCCGGAACATTCTGCAAATGACGCATCCATCAACGCATGTCGTCGGAAGCAAATACGACGGATGCGCCGACTCACCGAAGGTTCGAAAGCAATAAAATTTACGGGGACGCTCGACTTCGTGCATCGACGCTTGAGAGAAAACCTGGACGGTCCATGGACGGAATGTCGGTTTTGAGGCGATTGGCACTAGCGGGTCCAAACTCACCTTTGCAAAAGTCGTTCACGAATGGCGTGTCGGTAATGCAGCCCCACTTTCCAAGGAGAAAGGCAGCCTACATAACCTACGCCGTACTTGAATGTGCATCTCCTATCTGGAACACAGTCAATAAAACCGACATCGAAATTTCTCGATTTCCTGGTCGGAGCGGCTGCTTTCGGACCTTCTCCAGCTCCTCCAGCGACTTTCAACTTGGAAACTCGGAGATTGAAAAAAACGGCCTGGCGTTGGTCCGTCCCCGGGCCGGGACAGGGGGCAACGGGGAGAAATTATTTCGACTGCAGGGCGGAATTATTCCATTCGTTCCTCGTTCGAATGGATGCGACAACCTTCCGAATTCATTCGCCAGGTCCTCCATATCGGTTGGATCCCGTAGGTAAATTAACTTATTCTATGATTCTCTAATTTGATCTATTCCTGATTTCTCGACACAGCCGTTGTTTCACTCAAAATTTTTATTAGTATTGCAACATAAATGATACGATGATGATGAAATGCATTAATCCGAATTCATCTCCCGCGTGCATCTGAATACCGCACGGCATCGACTTGCAGGCGCCGAGAATTGGCCGTTGGAGTTCCCGACCTGCGGAGGAGACCTTCAGTCCCCGATCGACGTGAGCGGCGCCGTCCCCGCCGACCTGGGACCCTTCCAGTTCAATAACTACCGGCAACCTGCTCAGGCCACCATCTCCAACAACGGGCACACGGGTGAGCCGTCCGATTCTCGTTCGCCCGAGCCTTCCTCGACCGACTCATTCCCTGCCGTCGCGTCGCGCGAGCCGGGAAGCCGCAAGATTCATCTCCCGGAACTCTGACCCCTGAATCATGAAGATGCAAAAATGCACAAGCCAATTTTAATTCATGATCGAGTTTTTCCGCAGATAAATCTTTAGGGCGCCCGGAAACTTTTCAACAATATCGTATCGGCGGAAATTCGCACTTCCGCAGTGAAATTCCGGATGCATGCGGGAACGTTATTCGATGACCATCTGGAATGAAGTTGGACAAAAACGCAGCTAATTTTTAGCCAGAACTCATCCGGGAGGGTTTCCAGCTAAACTCGATTTCGAAGCTGGACTCGAAATGAAATTACGATCTTGATGAACGTGGCGGCATTAACTTTCGATTCCTCTCCTTTTCCTCTGCGATGGGCTTGCTTGGACGGCTGATTCCGCGCGAGATTTGCGCGTTTCGAAGCCAGGTGATTTCGACAGTGTTGAAAATCCAATTTTCGTGCGTTGAATCGAAGGCTTTAGCTGGACTGAATGATTAGGACTAGCGATCCGTTGTTCGAGAACAAATCCTTTTTCGTATCAGAATAATTACGGATTTTCCATTTCAAGCAGTGTTCAGTCATTCAGGACCATTCAGAGTGAATTCACCTTCGCCCTCTATCAAAACGCGTGGATCTGGTCAGGATCATCGGCTCCATCACGGATGCCATTGCTTTTAAGCTTCTCCTATCTCGACATGTTACAGGACACCACAGTCCCAGTCACGAATTTCCTGATGGGAGGGCAAGACGATGCCCCCCCCCCCTCCTCCCCAAACTGTGTGACAATTGCGTGCGATCGTCTTGATACGACAGATTTACTACATGGGGCTTCATTGAATGGCCACCAAGGTCAAACGATATGTATTTGGGACATGACGGGACGTTGCTTACAAAACACGAGGAAGCTGAAGCCACGCATCGCAGCTGCAATCGCAACATTTTCGCCTGCCTCGTGCAGCCGCATACGCGACGCAGTCGGGCCGCATTGGGAGGAGGATGCATCTCGGCAACAGGTGGCAACCTTCAGCGTTTAACATCACATTTACGATATTGAGGCTAGACCTATCATCCGCCGTTAAACAGATGCATAACTGCGTCGTCTCGATGTCTGCTCTCATTTCCCTCCCCCTTCTTCCTCTACCCCCCCCCCCCCCGTCCCCCGTCCCCCGTCCCCCTTTCTCCACTCCCTCTCCAGCAGCGGCAAAATCAGCGAAGCAGCACCTTCCACACACAATAAACCAGTACAACATCCCTCCTCCTTCCAGAAAATGCAACATTCATCCACTCGGACACGAAGGACCGGATACGATTCTGCCCATAATACACCATAGTAGTTACATGGTCACAACTTTCTTTTGATTTTGAACGCCATCGTGCATTTTGAACCGAGGAAGCCTAAATGAGACGCTCGCTTCGGTATCACATGCTTCGGTTAGCGAAGCAGATACCTGCCACGTCGACGTCTGCAATTAAATACGTCTTTTCATCAATCATCATACTTCTGGACGGCAATTAATTCTGCTCTCGGGCATTCATGAGTCACGCCATATTGACGTCAAGGTCGGCAGAAAGTAATTTCCTTCAAGTCCGGTTTCAGAAGAAAGTCGAGCTGAAAATCCTCCCAGTTAAGTCCTAGCAACAAATTCAGAGAAACTTTATTCAAATCCAACTAGTTTAAAAATGGACGCCTAGTAAAATTCTTACATGGTCTTTCGTCCTCGAACGTGAGCCTCAGCACTCAATTTCGCATCTCAAAATTAAATTGATGCATGTGTACCTCTCGAAGGAAGTGATGCTTAAAGTAGTCTGTTCGCAATTAAAGGCAGTCATTATGCAAATCCATTTGCCAGACGCTCGGGGGCCAAGCCTTGAATGAATTTCTCTGGCTGCTGGATGATTTCTTCCTCGAAAACTGAAACTTTTCCCGAAATTGATGGGTTTTTTTTTTTAATTTCCAGCCGAAGTGACATTGAACACAAGAACTATACCGACGGTGGAAGGAGGCGGTTTACCTGGATTGTACGTGTTCGACCAGCTCCACTTCCACTGGGGCTCCTCCCCCAACTGGGGATCCGAGCACACTCTCTTCGGCTCCAGGTCGGTCTTTTCTGCCATTGAACTCGGGTGTCTTTCGATTGGGGTGCGGAGTTCCTAAGGCTGACCGAAACTGTACAAGCAATCGGACGCAGAAAATACGCGATTGCCTTATTCGAAGCGTAAAACTAGCGTCAGGGATGGAAGCACCACAAAAACAAAATATAAAATTGAGCCCACACAGCTGCGAATGCCATTGAGAAATTCAATGGCACTAATGGCCCTTCCCCCCACTTTGGGAAACCTACGTGGAAATGGGTTAGGAATCCGGTCCCAATCCAACCAGCGGTCTCCTCATCATATTCTCGGTCGAAATCAAACTATCTTCTCGATCATTCAATGTATGACGCTTACCCCATGCCGTCGCTCTCACGAATTCGTTCAACTTTCAAGATTCCCGATGGAGATGCACATGGTGCACTACAATTCCAAGTTCAAGAGTTTCAAGGAGGCGGTTGCCTCGGGTGAACCAACGGCTGTCGCCGTCCTCGGCTTTTTCTTCCAGGTACCACTCGCTATGGAAACAATTAAGTATCAACCGAATTCGTATTATATAGAATTAAATGAAAATGCTTTTCCTTTCTTTTGGGGCCAGAGTGTAGCACTTCTTGAATAGGGGTGTTATGGGCAGGCAATTAAATTCAAATTCCCTCAGCCAATTCATTTATTTAGCTAGTGTCGTTGGATTACCGCAAATAATACAAGTATTATACTTGACAAGTAACATCATGCCGCTAAAGCGCTAACATGTATATCGATTGAGTAACTTCTTTACGGATTAAATAATCGATGATGCAGGAGCGTTCTATGTTATTATAGATATATTCGTTTTTACGTGATTTCCTTGGGATGAGTGTGGGATCAGCATTTGAGGTTCCACATGCACTCTGTATAGGCGACGTACAACTGGAACCCGTATTGGGATAATCTGGCGAGAGCGCTGGCCTTTGTAGAGGAGCCGAACACGGAGCACCAGGTGAACCCACCCACCTCGCTATTCCAGTGGATGCCTCCCGACCTGAGTAGTTTCTACCGGTACTACGGCTCGCTCACGACGCCTACCTGCGATCAGGTGGTCGTCTGGACGCTCTTCGAGACTCCCATCCCCATCGGCCTGCAACAGGTCTCGCTTGCTCCTCCATTTCGATATCCGCTCCTGGGTGAGGCGAGCAGAGACGCCATTTGATTGACTGCTCCGGATTGGTGTCCGATCAGATCGCTCTCAGCTCGCATCGCTCCCGTTTTCCATTAAATAGGCCAACTTTTAAGTGCCGAATCATTCCAGTAATGGAACAAGTAGAAATGGGATAAAGTATTATGGATCGAGACTGTGTCAGATACGGCTGCCAGAAATGTCATGTCATTACATTTAACGACTATTCCAAAACAGTAATGCTTCACAGCGTTCCCAAAACAGAGGGTCATCCATCGACTTCTTGGTGAAAGGGAAAGGGCTGAAATTCTAAAAGTTTGCAATTTCATACATATCGCATGCATTCCTAAATTAAAGTGCCGCTGCTGAACTCCTTCATGAATTTTCTTTTGAATCAAATTATTTTCATCTTCAGCTAGCACAATGGAACCGCCTGAGGACGACGACGGGGAGCGTGCTGACGGACAACTTTCGACCAATGCAAGCCAGGAACGGCCGGCAAATCCTGTACAATCAGCAATGGTTGTATTAATAGCTTTCGTAAAAAGAGAGTGATGCCAAGTTGGATGAGACTTCATAGAGTTATTTCCGGACGCTGTCACTAGGTGGCAGCAGTATAGCTCAGCTCCTTACGCATTTTATAGTTCTTGATTCGTTATACCCGGTGAGGTTGAGGCACCTGTAAAAGTACTAAATGAAAGTTTGAACTCCATTTTCATCCGATTAGGGGATTATCCTCATTGTTTGAATTATCTCCAAGATGAGTCATAAAGAACGATTGAAACCATTGCAGCCTCGAAGGCATCATAGGGGTTCATTGCAGTACAATGAATACATTTTCAACTATATACTCCTGGTTAAAATAGCAAGTAAGATAGGTTTAAACGTTTAACGTAGCCTGAAGGATGATGACGTCACAGGTTGACATTACTGGCGACGTGAGAGACGTCCCTCGCCTCGGACTCGAGTAAGTCTATTTGAAGGGAACTGAAGGATTCGCGTCCGGCGACTCGGCAAATCTTTCTAAAGCTGATAAGAAGATAGTCTTGCGAAACAATCCATCCTCTTTGCAAGCAGACGCGAAATGCATTCGGAAACAGGATCTGGTTTCGTGAACGACAATAAACCAGTGACAAATCACCAAGGCTTCTCGCTTCTTTCTTTCTGACCTATAGCACCGAAGAATGAGGAATTATTCACCTCTTGGCATCGCATCATCCGAAGGAGGTATGCCAAAACGCACCAGAATCGCACAATCTCAAAGGATACTATCGAAATTTCAAGACAGCCATTGGATAGAAAAAATGTTTGCTAGGACTCCTGAAAAATATTTTTTCAGTGGAAGAGGTGAAGTGCTTCACATTTCACGTTTGACCCACGACAATCACGGAATCGGCAGCATCCTACAGCCACAAGGAATGCGGACGAATAAAGGCGCACGCGTTCTTACCGAGATTTTTTTCGAATGCCAGAAGAGCCACGTCCACCGTGCCGCCAAATAATAAAAATTATTTCTGCATTCATCCTCCGCTCCTCCAAGAAACCTCCAAACGAAAAAGAACCTGCAGCTGCCATTCAAGCGCAGCATGCACGGGCGACATCTTCCAACCTCCATCTCGCGCTTCGATCGGCTTCTAATTGCCTGCAGGGTAAGTGCGATACGACGAGTGGCGGCGGATTTCGTGGAAGAAAAGGCCCTCGAGGAGTTTCGAGGGATTCCCCGAACCCTATTCCTTCCGGGCATCATTTTTCAGCTCTGCGAACTTCTCTCCTTCGTTGAGCACGTTGCTGAATTAGTATTACAGAAGCCTTTTCATCCACGGGACCGATCTGGATCTGGACGCATCCACGTCCGTATCGGATCCGCGATCCGCATGCGAAAATAAACGTTATTAGCATCCTATACAGACGCATATGAGCATTCTATTGGACTGGACGCCTCCACTTCGTCTTGCGAAGGACTGTCCTTTTAATGTCAAGACTGTCGATGCTGCATCGCTCTTATTGGTCGTATTGCGAGTTAGCATGAGTATGTTCATAGCGCCAAAGGATAAAAAATGTTCATAACAGATCGAAAACCCTTTAAATTCAACCAGCAATTGAAGGATCCGGATATCTCATCTCTCGCTTCTCCGTTTAATCGGTTCAGCGTCTCGTCGATCGTTTGAAATCATCAGCAAGTTCTTAGAAGCTTACTGCAACATTACTCCTATCGACAGCGCGAAATCCATGGCGCCATCCGTCCTCCAGGACTGGGAAACGAGGACTGATTCGTCTGGCTCAGGCGACTCACACGGATCAAGGAGTGGGCGGGGCTTATTGGTCACGTGGGTCATGACGTAATCGGGTTCCCGTCCTTCCAGTCCAAGGAGGTCCTGCAAGTTCTCCATAGTCGATCGCGATTCCGGATCCGAGCGGCTGGGTTCCGCGTGGAAGCAAGCTTCATCTTCCCGAAGAAATCGGTGCTGTGAAATGTGGGGGCGCGGTGGAGGGTCGGTTGGTTTTCGAGGTGTCGGGGAATTTTGTCGACAATTTTCGCGGAACCGGGGTTTACAATTAGAGGTTTTGGGCATCCAGACAATAAAGTTTCTTGTTTCTTGCAAATAATTGCAAGAAACTGCGCCTAGCGTGGCGAAGCCTGAAGGCCAGAGCTCATGCAGGAGACGTGCGTTTGCAGGACGCGATAGCTGCCGAAATCCTTCAATGTCTTGCTCATTTCCCTGACCTGGTCCCCTGTGGCTTTTGGTTCTTTCCCAGACAGAGGTGCAAGCTGCAAGGACGCTGGTTCGGCACCGAGATGGAGCTGAAAGCGGTCGCGACGAGGGAGTTTCGACGCAGATCGGGTGATGGCGCGCAGGATGTATATGCATGCATGGTGCATATATGGGTGCATTGATTGGGAAATGCGTTGCGTAACAGGGGAAACGTGTTGAAATATTAAAGGATCACCAGGACCAGGACATGTAAGGTAAGGCTGCATTGCATTCAGTTTTGATATTTAGAGGGCATCCTCCATACAGTCATTGGAGCAAAATTCGAATGTTAAAGCGTTTTACACCATGACGAAGTCTCGCCCTTCCTCGGTCGAGTCCCAGGTGATGGACAAGAAATAAACAGAACGCAAAACGTCGGTGATTCGACACCTAAATAAAACGGAAAGAACTCGGGATTCACAAATCACGATGCCCGATTAAGACACGCATGCGAACGGAAGGCCCAAGGAGATTTCCAGCTAAGCGGAAGGAAGGAAGAAGGGCGTCGACGGCATGCGGTTGAAGTCGCTTCCGCCTCCGTAGATATGGCTTCCAAGGGAGGACGCTGGGAAAGGCTCTGGACGGAGGATGCATGGCGAGGGCGATTCTCCCATCCGTTTCCCGGATGAGGCAAGATAGAGGCTCTCCTCGGGAATCACTTCTTTGTTGACAGAATTATTCATCCCAACTGGAGTAATTCGGTCTTCCGGTGACGATAAGTCTCGTTCTGCTTTTTTTTTGTTTTGTCTGTTTTTTCCTCGTGGAGAACGGTAATTTAATTATGATTTTTCACTCGTTCATTCAATTCTTGATTATCTATGTCATGCAGTACATTACCCAAGGGGAAAGCGAAAATTCTGATGTGCAATTCTTCACATCTTCCAAAATTTTAAGATCATTTTTAGATATCCAGATTTTTTGTTTCGAGTTGATTTTTACTTCCTACAAGAATTCAGAGCAATTTTATTGACAGATGTATTCTTTTTTTCCTTAATCAGAAATATATATGTATTCCAAGTAATTAAGAGAAATAAAACTGAACTCTACTTGTTGAGGAGAGCCCTGATTTTTCCTAAACTGCACGTGAATCTGCCCGGGCTTCTCGTATATGAGCCCCAAGGACACACCGAATTCGGGGCCTCGGGGGAGGGATGGGGGGGGGGGGGGGGGCCATTGATGAGGTTCCCCGAAAACCATTGGGGATCCCCNGGGGGGGGGGGGGGGGGGGGGGGGGGGGGGGGGGGGTCCATTGATGACGTTCCCCGAAATCCATTGGGATTCCCCATAGGATTGCTATATCCTTGAGAAAAAAAAAGCTGGGGAAATGACCACCGACGGGGAAACCCCTCCGCGCACCGACCGTGAAAAAACCAAGGACACCGTCAGGATAAGATAGATGGAGCGCGGGAGCAAAGCTGGTTAGAAAAGCCGCCTCCTCCCGTCCCTCCACTTCATTGCCTCATCGAGTTCATCTCTGTGATCTGCAATCGACATCCATCAAACGTTTCGCCCTAAACGAAGGCTTTGTCGTCTCGTCGCAATCATGCCCAACTCACATCTTGTCATCTGTGAGTTGGAATTTTCGCATTTTCGGTTGCACGCGTCAAATCGGTTTTCATTCATTCTTTCTCTATTTCTTGATAATTCTTACGTATGTATATTGCTTATCTTTAAATCTTACCAAATTTTCTCATCTCAAAATATTTTAAAGCTTGATGCACTTTTGGCAACGCATGACTCGAAGCCTCGTGCGAGTGTTTGTGTGGGGCTTGGGCCAGCTTATGGCAACGACTGCAGGCTTTATGTGCCACTAACCCTTTTGCATGGCCACTTTGAGATTCACGGTATTGAAAATCCATTCCAGGTTTATTCAAGTTTCGTGCAAGAAAAACAAAAAAATTACTGAGTATACCACGGAGAATTCTCAAAACTTCAAACAAAAATGTGAAAAACCCAAATATTTTCAAGATCCTTGAAATATATTTTTCGATCCGAAGGAAGCTGGAATATGTGATGCGCGAATCGATCAAAAGGAAGAGCGAGAGGCCGTATTGATAAGTAATTAAATATATATTTCAGGCCTTAGACATACTGCCTCATGTTACATCAAACTTCTGCTCCCTGCAGATGAATCGGCTGATGGAATTCGGCAATCTAATCGTGCAATTGGATGGTAATCGGCGTCGCCGTCTTCATCTTCGGCTGTTAATATTCTCGAGGATCCTTACAGTATCGAAAATCCTACTTCAAGCTTCCACGATTTCGTTTCCCTCAGCCGGCAACCTAGAGTCGCCGAGGAGACAATTTCGAAACAGCATCACCACAAGGAACCGGCGGAAGCCCGAAAATTTCCTTACAAACGAGCCAGGTGCAGCGTCAGAGCAGAAATGGAAGCGATGCGGATGCAACCACAGCCTGTCTGAAACAGAGCCTGTCTGAAACAGAGCCTGTCTGAAACAAGCCTTCCATAACTTCGGAGTTGCATCGAGTTCGAAGGCTGCAGCAGAGAGAATTCGGCGCTTCGCTTTTGAAAACAGGACGTTCGTATCAATAGTATTAAAATAACATCTGATATTCCCAAGGATTTCCATTAAAACCCAAGTCGTATTTTATTCCGCAAAATCGAAAACGCGTGACTTGTCATGGATTGTTTCTCCTCCGAGAACCGACTTTGCACACAATGGAATCGATCGTCTGCACCAAGGTTATCAGCACGACGTTGTGGGCAATGAGCCGACCAAACTCGGCAAAGAGATCAACGGATGGATTGGGGAGCGATTAGTAGGATTTTAATTTCATTAACCCCATTGGAGATTTATTTTCCATAAGGTTCCTGCCGCTTTGGCTGATCGCCTGGAGAATTCACTCGAATTTATGCGAATTTCCCATCTTTGCATGTGTTTTGTCTAAGTGGGAATAAAATTCGACATTTTCCTTATGCGCTCATAATATGCGAGGACTCGGAGGGAGGAATAGCGCGTATGATATTCTGACATGAGGGAAGAAAATGCAAACATTTTCTCGATCATCCGCTGCGCCCATTGTGCAAAATCAGGACTATATCAGACACAACAGGGTTTCGATGTTGCAAGACTTGGACCACTGAGAGAAATATGGATTTCTCTCAGTGGTCCATATCCAGGGACCTTTTCAAGGGAAAGATCCCTGGATATGGATTTTCAAGCTAAGGGACAAGAAACATAACGGTTCAACCAAGATATTTCTTAAAGCATGACATCCCCCTTCATCCACATCCCCCGTCATCCACATCCCCCGTCATCCGCATCCCCCGTCATCCACATCCCCCGTCATCCACATCCCCCGTCATCCACATCCCCCGTCATCCATTTTCTACCTCATCCTCACCCCAAATCAGAGAGCGAGAAACCCGCTCGCTCTGGCTGCAAGAATGGAAGGCTTCCTCCGTTTTGAAAATGACGAACCTTAATAGAGATTCCATCGGGAGCGATGAATGCATATTATTATTTAAGCTTTTCCGACGTTCCACTTTTCCGGTTTACAGGCAGTAGCTGAACCCCAAAACGTTACATATCAACGTCATATGACGTCATCACCAATATGATATGAAATTAAGAGGAACACAACAAACCGTGCTTTAAAAGCAAAACAACAGACAGGCGGGATCGCGGAAGAAAATGAGCAGACTATGCGCAGACTATGCGCAGATTATGCGCATAGCCGTCTGCTTCGGCTGCTTCACGCAGTGATTATAATTTAGTATTAAACGCTATTATTTTTAAAAATCATTTTAGCATGTCATCAGTTCCGTCGCCATCTCGTCCAGAAAATCGCCGATCAAACTGTCGCATATAAGATCGAGACGATTCCGATGAACAATTTCCTCGATATCGTGAACCGAAAGCGTCGCCGACGCTAAATTGTAATAAAAATAGTTTTTAAAAATTTCACCTGCATCCGCAAGTTCAGTATTTAACATGATCACGAATGACCTTGTCTCCATCGCGGCTCGAGAATTAATCCCTAATCCTCAATCCCTAATCCTCAATCCCTAATCCTCACGCGAAGGCCCATCGGAAAAAAAAGCTGGTAGAGCCGCCTTCGACGATTCCGCCGTTATATTCGGATCACATATTCGCATTTCGCGCAGTAAATATATTTATATTTATACAGAGTGGCCCAGAAAAAAAAACAGGCCGAAAATATATATTTCTTGCAAATATATAATGAATGGTAATGAATATATAAATATATTTGAGCCCTTCACGGTGTTACACCAACTTTTCCCAGATCTGACTTCCCTTGTCACGGCGTCACGGTCACCCGATCAAAATCCTCCAGATTTTTTTTTTTCACACATTAAGGAATTCAGCTTCGCCAATTCCAATTCCCAGAGCCGTCCCAGAATCGAAGCAGAACATTGAACAATTGGTATACAATTGATATACCGTGTTCATGGTATACCACGAGAAACTTGTGGTAACGTCATCGATCGCCAACCGTTTGGAAACATGTGGAACGGAACGGACAGCCCTTGGAATACGTGATGAATACGTGATGAATACGTGATGCAAGCCATATCAACCCCAATTTCGACCTGGTTTTTCTGGGCCACCCTGTATATATATTTAGAGTCAGAGATCATTTCTCGGGGAACTTCGTGGTTTGGAGAAGGGCACCAGCATGCACATTTTGATCATTCATTAATGATATACTTCTTATATCATATCTTGAATCGAACCCACTCCCGTGATGCGCTTGTGCACGAAAACGCCCGCAGCTCAAAAGGAACATAAATTTCTCAGAGTGAATTATAAGTAAATTTTAAATAAGAATAAAATAAGTTTAAATAGAATTTTTTAAATATTAAATGTGAAATTATGATATATATAACAGCGATAAGTGAGGTGGCTTCTAAAATATCCTTGAACCTTTAATGAACCTTTAAATGCATCCATCAAGTCATCGCCGCGTCCCCACTTGCCCTTTGGGAAATTAATTCAATCGACGACATTCTTCGTTTCAGTGCTCTGCGCCGCGGTCTGCCTGACGGGTGCTCAGCAGCAGTTCACGTATGAGAACAATGGTACGTACATTTACACTTTGATAATATTCGTAAGTTGCACTAGGGTGTTAAAAATATGAACATCTGTGGTCTCGAGCGCAACTAAAAAAAAAAATTATGGAGGATTAACGGAGGATTAGCTCATAACCCGTAAACATGGTTTGCTGCGGATATCTTCATGAAAGAGCTCGTTATTCCGCTCCAACTCGATTTCACTTTTGATTGAGAATGCCGGAAGATTACCGGAGTATCCTGCCCGCATAGGCAGGATGAGGGCCGGAGAGAGCGGAATCACATCCGTGTGACGTCATCGATGATGTCACACGGATGTGATTCCACGGGCTTTTGGGGGGTTAGACGAGAAAGGAAGTCGAAGCAGCGACCCAGATAACACAAGAGCGTTGGAGAAATGCTATTACGACGCTCGCTTCTAACGCTGTTCCAGCATTGAAGCTAACTTTAGCACAGCGTTAAATTAAAAGCGTTAAAATGGCCATTATGGGAGCGCTCAAAGCAACGTCAAACGCGATGAACGCTCCTCCTACGTTCATTTAAACATTGAATTAAACGCGTCCATCTTCCAACTGTTCGGCTCACCTGCTGGGAGCCCGAGTCTCTGACCACTTTCCCTGGTTGGCTTCCAACATTTTTCACTTCCTTCACAGGATTAGGATTAGA